AGGTTGTGTTTCGTTCTTGAACCCCTCAAATAAGTCCGGTCTCTGGCCACGTAGTGTAGGGTGGCGGTCCTCAATGTGTTGAAGATGGATCACATATTTTCAGTTCTATTTACGCCCAGATTGTCTGGTTACCATTAGATCGTTCTGGGTACATGCTATTTCAATGGGGGGGGGGGTTTCCGCGGTCTATGATCTTTCTGATTGAACAACACAATGCCTGGCATTTAATGCTGAAGGCTCAATATGCACTCTGTTTGCTTTTTCGAAATACTCTTGAGCTGCATTTGATCGTTCTCCGACCAACGACATGTAATTTTTCTGATCGATCGATAACATCTAATATCTAAGATATTAGATGTTATCGATCCCGCCCGGCTGCAGTCGTCGCCTTTGTGCTCAGGTTTCCATTCTACTCGCATTTCATTTCACTTCTAGGTCGGCATCGGCGTCGCTTCGGGTGAAAGGCTTGAAAAGAAAAAAAAAACTGAATTGGAAGATGTAAAAAATTCCTGGATGAGACTTGCAGTTCGCCAACAAGATCAATAGTCCTTTCACTGTGGGAGCCTCTAAACGTATCCTTCACGATAGTGGAGGGGAATAGGTGACATCGTTTACGCTGCACTCCGCACCCCAATCTTTCCTTTAACGTTGTCCATCACCCGCGTTTTCCTCATGTTTCATTATTTTGCCTTCTGACAGCCGCTTCACAGCGCTTCTTTCTCGTGAAGGACCATTTTCTCCTTACCAATTGTTTGTTTGCTTCGCCCATCCGTCCATCCCTCACGTCTCTTGTCTCACGAAGAAAGGCCGCAGTTGTGTCAATAATGCGACGTTCGCACACACCCGTCACCCAGTTTCTGCACGGATATTTCTTTCCTTCTTTGTCGTGCGAATTCGGAATCCCATCGGGGAAGCTGTACCTTTTCTAACTTCATTACGGCTTTTCAACTAATCAATTTGTAGCAACGTTGTCCATGTCAACCTTCACTTCTATTGCTTATTTGACTTCAAGACACAATTATGAGATATACATACAATATTTCTTTATGATTACATGAGACCTTGTCAGAATGTTGTACGCATGCCATCAATATGTCATCTAATGCATTTCCGCGATCTTCGATTATTTTCATCATTTTGGCAACTCAATAACCGCAAACTTTGTATATGTTTTAATCATGATACGCGTCATTTCTGTGGGTGTTTTGATCCGATATGGACACTTTTGGAACAAGTGACATCCACCTCTTCCAAAGGCTGATACTATACTAATAGCACCCAGAAGAGACCTATTCTGAATATTTTTCGGAGTGAATATATGCCACATTAAAGTAAACTTTTCACATCGATCGAGGTCCTCGAAACCTTGAGGGTAAAACTTCAGCTCATATTTAACCCTATCTTATATTTTAGGCATTGTTACCGAATATCACTATTTCCAGTGCAATTTTCGCACGATTTTTTTCCATGTACCAGCAGTGTCTGATATTCTCTGCGTAGCTAACTACTAAGGACGAAGGTATGCTTTCCGCACACGAGAGACGTCTGATGATGTAGTTTTTCTCCAGAGTAGGGGTACTTCGAGAAATGCCCTTTATTCATGGAAGTTACAGTATCAGCTATATTTGTAACGTTCATGGTTCCTCTAAAATTCGAAAGAGAACGTGGGTTGCACTCTCCAGATGCAGGAAATGCGAAAATAACGCAAGGGGAAACTTGACCATGTAACAGATTGTGCTCTTCGCAAGAAGTAACAACACGGAAAAATTCGTTTCCCTGAAGTATTTCCCACTTGCACGCGAAGTTTTACATCGCTCTGAGTTTCAGAAAATAATTTTTGAATAGCCGCACTTGCATTTAATATTGAGTTGAAAAAGCGCATTTTCAAAAAGAAATTAAATATAAAGAATGAAAAAAGTGTCCTTGGAAACTCAACTCTCAAAGCAATATTTCCCAGGGTTATTCGATAAGATAGCTTCCTTTCCGCAGAAAATTCGGGTGGATGAGATTAAAGTCCCCTGTATCAAGAGGGCTTGATGAGTTGAAGAGTGAGTGATTGGAAATGACCTAAAAGGCGGCCATGGGAACAAAGAAATGGTCAAAGGATAGGTGAGGGCTGGGGGGAGCATGGCTGAGTAGTTGAGTCATTTGGGAGATCATCGAGTGTGTTAGTGATATAATCTTCCCAACTGGCGATTCGACGGCGTATGCTAAGGATGGGGTATTCAGCCCTGAACGCTCGTCGTCGTCCTTTGTGCTTCCTGTCGTAGGTTGTCAGGTATTCGTGTACGTCTTCAGGGCAAGTTTCCTTCTCATAGAAGGAGAGAGCTAGATCTGATGCGTACACGTCAAGAGGTGCAAGGCCACTGACCCTATCAATGTAATCAGAAGGGTAGTGGTGTGGGATTCTGTACGCGAACTTAATCGCTGCTCGTTCGATGCGTGCAAGCGTGTCCAAGGTGGAATCGGGGACATTGGCCCAGACCGCAAATCCGTACGTTAAAACAGGACGGATGTAAGCCTTATACAGGCTCATGATGACGTTGGGCTCACAACCGTTGAAACGCGAGAGCAACTTCAGGCAATTCAATTTATGAATTGCCTTTTGGCGTAGCATCTGCACATGGTGGGACCAACGGAGGTGTTTGTGGAAAGTGATACCTAGAAATTTCCAGGCGGAAGCAGCGGGGATGAGGTCCCCATTTATCCAAAGCCTAAAGTTGTAGGTGTCTCGGGATAGGCTTCTAGGCACGTAAAGGTATGAGGATTTGGAAGGATTCATGGAAATCCTCCAATCCTTACTGTACAGCAGGATGAAAGAACATCGAGGACAAGTTGTGCGTCCTTTTCTAACTTCACTTCATTTCTTCTCGTGAGCCATATAGCTGTATCATCTGCATATTGGCTGACAAGTGCATGTGATGGTATGTGTCGAGGTAAGTCGTTGACAAACGCAAGAAAAAGCAGCGGTGCCAAGACTGATCCTTGTGGTACTCCAGCTGTAGTGGTGTAAGAATTAGACAGCTGGTTGTTGACTCGAACCTGGAATGTGCGACCTGTAAGATAGGATTGTATCCACCTGAGGACTGGAGCCGGTAGGAAGAGTTGATGATGGAGCTTGTAGAGCAGGCCCTGATGCCAAACCTTGTCGAACGCCTTGGTGACGTCGAAAAAGAGGGCTAGGAAATGCATTCCTTTGTGCGTGGTGTGTAGCGCTCTATGTGTCAGCCGTGTTAGCTGTTCTATAACGCCTTGGTGACGTCGAAAAAGAGGGCTAGGAAATGCATTCCTTTTTGCGTGGTGTGTAGCGCTCTATGTGTCAGCCGTGTTAGCTGTTCTACGGTTGACCTTCCTCGGCGAAAGCCAGCTTGAGCTGGATTCAGAAGGCGTTTGTCTTCTAGGTAGGACGCTATCCTTGTCGTTAAGATCTTCTCCAGGAGTTTTCCTATACAGCTCAAAAGGCTGATAGGTCGAAATGAAGATGGGTCTGAGGGATCCTTTCCTGGTTTCGGAATCATTGTTACGATTGCCGATTTCCAGGAAGGTGGGACATGGGAAAGATCTCGGCTGGCATTGTACAGATCGCATAGTCGGTCAAGGTCTAAGGTATGAATTTGAAAGTACAAAAAACCATGAAATTAGAATGTGGAGATCTCCTCGAGTGCAACATTCTGTCTTTATCTTTTTTTTGCATAGGTCTCTGGACATGAAATTCCTAGAACATCTTACCCCAAAAAGTGAGGAAGAAATCTGGATTTACTTTCCCTCCAAAAATGTGCTCTGATGGGATATACCCCAACATAGTACTGTATATACTTCGTATCTCCTGAAATTAGGAACCTACTAACAGCGTGATTGCCAAATACAGTACTACCTCTCTCTTATATTCGTATTACAGGATCGAATATGTCTTCTGGGAAAATGTCCCAGCCAAATATTCCATCCTGAAGATTTTAACATTGAAAACCGAACTTTTTTGGAACATTACATCACAACAGCAAATTCTTTGCCAAATTTCCCCTTCTACCTCTGGCAGATTAATTGAAGTAAAATAATTTTTGCAAAACGTGTGCCCCAATAAAACATACCCCATAATAGGAGAAGTATCTGAAAAGTAAAAATTTCCGTGAAGTCATGTTCATTTTCATTTTCAGCTTTCCATTTCCTTCCATTTGACTGAAGCCAAATATATATATTTTTTTAAACGCCCCCCCTGCAAGGAAAATATGCCCCGAAGTGATGTGTCTTTATAGTGAAGATTTTCTTGGCCTCCATTCTCCGATGGAAACTGCAGAACTGGGTGTTGATGCTGGAAATTTATTCTTAAAAATAATCTCTTATGTCAACTCACTTTGTGAGTTGTCACTTTTCAGCGGCAACTCACGAGGAACAGGTACGACTGTTGGAACTATTCCAACCCAGAGCTAAAGATTTTTTATCTCCGGAGATAAAATAAAAGACATCAAATCAGCAAGAGAAAATCGTTAATTTGTCGTTTCTGCACTCGTGAAATTATTCCTTTGAATCGGAAAATATAGATTATCGAGTGATACAGGTGGGATTTGAACATTCAAATTTCGGAATTGCCAGTTGCGATTACTTTAAAATACTAGTTTTTAATTGAAAATTGTCCACTGTTATCAATCGCATTTCATGACATGAAAGCGAAGCTGTCTAACTCATAAGTTATCAGTTTTCCCGTCCAATAAAAATATATAATATGAACTTGAGCGACCTTCTTGATGGGTTTGGATGAGTGGGATCACAATCGTGTTTCGTCGTTGAATAATGGGATTTATCACTTCATTTTTCAACTGTCTCAATTTGACGAAATGTCAACTGTAACTGATTTGGTGCATCAACAACCATATCGACGCCAATTCTTTTCAGTTTCATGTTAGGCACGCTACAAGACCCATCCCTTATCCATTAATACATTTTCCATAATTTTTCCTTCATTCCATTTTCCACAGTTCCATTATTCCATTATTTAACTTTTAATGCTGAAGGCTATTTTGGGGGAGGGGGAAGAAAGCGGCGATATAAGGTGGACGACGGGTGGAACTCTCATCAGCTTCCGATGGATTCTCACCGCTGCCAGTTCCGTCGAAACTTCAAGGTGAGTCCTTGTCGTCCACAAGCGACGAGACATGTAAATTCCTCTTACGAGCTTATTTCGAGGTTCCTTGTTTCGGCATTTCAGGCCTTTGGTGGTGAGACTAGGTGAGCACGACCTGTCGGATCCCTACGAAACCATCACGGAGATTTTCAACGTGACCCAGACCATCCCTCATCCCAACTGGAGAAGCGGATTGAGCCGGACCGTACGTGTTCATGAACGCAATTTGTGGACGGATGTGTAATTCCCTCTTGAGTAGACCTGCCTGCACATTCAAACAAAATATTTCGCTATTTCCGGTCTTTAGAATTACCACAATATCGCCCTCCTACGACTGGACCGAGAAGTGTCATTTCGACCCATCTCTTTCCCGGCGTGTCTGCCGACTAAAGAGGACACCCTGTCATTGGGAAGAAAAAGCACCCCTATCGTAGCTGGATGGGGAACCACCTCTTTCGGTTCGCACTAATTTTATTTTCGGGACCGCAATTATTTAACCCTTGCAATGCTCACAGATTCCATCTCTCCCAGGCGGAAAAGAGAGCAACATTCTGCAAAAAGCCAAAGCTCCCTTGATAGATCCATCAAAATGCGAAGAGGTGGTCTCCAGGTACAACTTCCTGAAAAGAATTTATCCCAACGGCATGATGGGGCAGGTGCTATGCGCCGGAGGAGCAGGCCAAGATTTGTGCCAGGTAGCACAAGCGAGCATCCCATTCCCTCGACACGAGGAAGTCGACTGACCTTACCCGGTTCCAATTTTTCGCGCAGGGAGATACTGGAGGACCGCTCATGCTCCCTCGTGACGGGGAGAAATGCCAGTACAATGTGATAGGGATCGTTTCAACTGGCGTCGGGTGTGGGGGGGACTTCCCTGGTTTCTACACTCAGGTCTCCTCCTACTTGGACTGGATCGAGGGAATAGTCTGGAAAAGTGACCCATGAATGCAGGTATCTCTCTGACCTGAAATAAAAACATCATACGGTTAATGCAAGTGTTGTAACTAATTAGATCCCATCTTTCCTTTCTAAATTTCCCCTGCAGCTTGAATTCATAACAAAGACATTAGACATTAGGACGCGAATTTGGTTCATTAATGAAAAAGTTCAAGGTGAAACACCCAACCACTACGATGACTTGATTAATGATTTTTCACTAAAATAAGCGTACGTCTTGCGAACTGCTATAGATTAATATTATAATATTCTTTCATGCAAGTTTGATACACCGTAAAAAATAAATATTTTCGGAAATTCCGACTAAGGAATAGGAAACAGAGTTTCCGTCTAATGCGCGAAAAGAGGGACTATGATTCATAGCGGAAACCACGTCTCGGATTTTTTCACGTAAACATGCTGTTCCATAAAACCCTCGGATTCGTTCCCTCCCGACATGAAATCATTAATCCGTGAGTTATTGGTGTATCCCAAAAAAGGAAAATCTATAAGTACTATTCACTCACGCGACCATTCCGTAACACATATCGTCGCTTTCAGAAAAAGATCGCGACACATTTTCTCACCTCTCTCTCTTTTGAAAGAGAAAGCGTGAAGAGGGGAAGAGCAAGTCCTAAATCTCTTAAGACACTCTTTCATCATAGGAGTGTGGACCGCGGCAGTCAAGTAATGTAGATGATGCAGATGAAGCAGGGTATGCCAATTTTTAGTGCAGTTGCTTTCCTAAGCAGCTGAAGCAGCTGTGAATCGACATTTCTCCTGTATCCGATAGGGAAATTCACATATTCACCTTTCCTTCTTAAGAATAAAACATGTACGTTTTCCGAAGCATCACGATGTCATGTTTAATGGGATATAGGATGCTCGTGGGAGTCACCTAACATTATGGTTGGAACTACCGTACATGTATCCGGTTTCTTCCTTAAGGTTTCAATACGGAGAGGTGCGAATGATCAAGAATAATATTTCCGAGAATATTCGAAACATGCTTTTCCAACGTGATTGCGAAAAAGGTCGTTCGCTTAAACGTCAGAATTCGGATTTATGTCCCTTAGATGTATTATTAAGAAGACGTAAGACAAAGAAAACGGAATGGGATTTCTGAAGAAAAGAAATATTTTCTGAGCATGAGGGGAAATCCAGACTTACGTGTCCTTATTCGGTGTTTTTTACTAAGAAGAATCGGAAATGTCCTAATTTTTTTTACAGTGTATAACTATACTTTGCGGATTGTTCAAATCATTCGACGATATCACTCCATATCGACCCAACAACCTCGAAAGGGGAGAAACGCGACTGCGACGGAGCGCGTTCTATATGAACTGGCATTTACTTTAGGTGCATGATTCACCAAAATGAGTTTTCTAGATTGAAGTGAAAATTACTCATAACTTAGACAGGAGAAGAAGCATGAGCGATGTTATAATAAAACTAGCATAGCCCCGCGTAAATTGCGCGAAATTACAGTGTAGCAATTTCCAGATGTTACCGCAATTACTTGATATTCTAAAGGTATAGAGTCTAAAGGAAAATGTTTTGACTCCACCATTGATAATAGAAATACAGGGTGAGTCAAAAGTCCCCTCCGCTCTTTGAATACTAATAACTTTGGAATGCCTGATCGGATTAAAATGTGGTTTGCACCATTCGAAAGACAAGACAAATCTCTATGTGCTGGATTTCATTTTATTCTGTTCATTATGTAACAATTGGGAGGAGGTAAATCAAATATCTCTTTTTTGGTATTTAAACGCGTTCATACTTGAAACCACGTCTGCGTGCTGGGTTTGATTGAGTGTCTGATGAACTATGTCCTTTGTGATTGATATCCCTGGAACACT